TGTAAAGAACAATACTACATAGGAACCTGGAATATTAGATCCATGAATCAAGGCAAATTGGAAGTGGTCAAACAGGAGATGGCAAGAGTGAACATCAACATTTTAGGAATTAGCAAACTAAAGTGGACTGGAATGAATGAATTTAACTCAGGTGGCCATTATATCTATGTGGGCAATAATCCCTTAGAAGAAATGGAGTAGCCATCATAGTCAACAGAACAGTCTGAAATGAAATTCTTGGGTGCAACCTCAAAAACGACAGAACGATCTCTGCTCGATTCCAAGGCAAACCATTCAATATCACAGTAATCCAAGTGTATGCCCCAACCATTAATGCTGAAGAAGCTGAACAGTTCTATGAAGACCTATAAGATCTTCTAGAACTAACACCAAAAAAGATGTCCTTTTCATTACAGGGGACTCAAATGCAAAAGTAGAAAGTCAAGAGATACCTGGAATAACAGGCAAATTTGGCCGGAGTGCAAAATGAAGCAGAGCAAATGTTAAAGAGTTTTGCCAAGAGAATGCACTGGTCATAGCAAATACCCTTTTCCAACAAAACAAGAGAAGACTCCACAGGTGGACATCACCAGATGGCTGCAATATTAAATATTATTAAATCCCTGGTAACAGGCTGAACTCATGCTCCTGCACTTGGTGAACACAGAATGACTACACCTAGTTAATCTATTAGACCGCTATAAAGACATGACAATCAAGATCTTGAGAAAATTAGAGAAACACTGTATTTGTAATTGAGTATATAACCTATTGGGCTTCCCAGGTGGCACTAGTGGTAAAGAACCTGCCTGCCAATGCAGGAGACTAAAAGACGCAGGTTTGATCCCTGAGTCAGGAAGATCCCCTGGAGGCGGGCATGGCAACCCACTCCAGTATTCTTGTCTGGAGAACCCCCATGGACGTGGGAGCCTGGAGGGCTCCAATCCAGAGTCACAGAGTTGGACAGGGTTGAAGCAACTTAGCACACATGCACATACAACCTTTATGTGAACATAAGCAGATCACACTTTTACAGAAAATTTTCAGTTGAGTGAAACCAAATGCTAACCTATGCTGACAGGTAATTTCCAAATATTTTCACTGAAATATTTCATATTCATTAAGAAAAGCTTTTATCTTCCATATTTATGGGTATAAATCAAAACGTTCCAATATAAACTTGTGCTTATCTAAAGATAAGTTACCTTCATTTTCTGTATTGGCCAAAACTAAGAAAGGCAACAGAATGAGGAGAAAAATTCCTTATTAAAAACTTTAATATAAACTGTACGCTTAGAAATACAAAATCATAAATTTATTGAGGATTATTGTTTTAACCACATGCCCTAAAACATGCCAAGATATTATAAGTGACTATATGCAGTATCAAACTTTTAGCTTTTTGTTACTCGGCCATTAGGCCAACCAGAAAAGCATCTACTATCCAAACAGAAATTTATTTGGGAACCGTGAAATTTCTGTTTTATAGTTAATTCTGCTAAGATCAGCCAGAAATGAGTTTTAACCTAACTTAAGAAAAAAAAAAAGGGTGGGGAGAGACCTATTACCAAATAATTGAGTCTCTTTGCAGCAGTAACTATGTGCAAATATTCAGCCAGGTCCTGCAAATCTGTAGTACCATCTATGTATAATAATTTTTCATCATTTTAATAAAGGATATACTAGATATTACTTGGAGAAGGAAATGGCAACCCACTCCAGTACTCTTGCCTAGAAAATCCCATGGACAGAGGAGCCTGGTGTCCATGGGGTCGCAAAGAGTCAGACACGACTGAGCGACTTCACTTAGATATTACTATATTTAAAAAAAAAAAAGATATTACTATATTAAATCTAAGTTTTGTTCAAACTGTATTAAAACATTATAAAGGGAATTTAAGATCTAATTATAACAGTGTAATTAATGGTTTTATTTATTAGGCTTCCCCAGTGGCTCACCAGTAAAGAATCTGCCTCCTGCAACACAGGAGATGTGGCAGGAGGCACGGGTTCGATCGCTGGGTCAGAAAGATCCCCAGGAGAAGAAATCCAGTCCAGTATTCTTGCCTGGAAAACCCCCTGGACACAGGAGCCTTGTGGGCTATTGAATAAAAAATAAACAGAAAATCTCTCATGCTTTGGTTAAAATCTTTATAAGCATGTACTGGTTTTATAAAAATAATCATTTATTGCTTAAAATGACTCAAAAAACTGAAACAAAATTAAAACATCTCCTTTTTCTTACTTTCATCTTAAAAAGCAAAAATACACTAAACAAAATACATTGCCCTTTGTAAAGAATCAATGAAAAATATTAAGTATTTAAACAAGAAATATAAGAATTTGATTGGGTTTATAATCAACACTTTCATTCTAAAAAAGTGAGGTATTAACTAATTTTATATACTCACACCACAGTACCTTAACAAATGTTAAAAATACTCAGTTAAATATCTGGAAATAAAAGATAAGGTTTAAATATTTAAAAGGACTTGTATTCTCATCAAAGATTAAATAAAATAACAAAAGTATAAAGATTTTTTTCAACTCCCCTAGTAACTTGTTACTTTTGTTCCACTTTGATATCTTTGGAGTAGAAAAAAACTTTTAATGCAAATCTTTTTAAACAAAATAACGACTGTAAAAATGGAGAAAGTCCACAAATTTGGATTTTACATTGACTCAGAAATTTTCAAAACTTTGACATTAGCATGATATATAAAAGCCTCCACTAAAAGACAAAACTGACTTTTCCCTTGGAAAACATAAAACAATATTGAAGAAATTAAGTGTATTTTAAGACCGATTTCTCTGAGTTTGTCAGGAAACACATCTATGATGATTAAATTTTATGGCTGTTAAAAATTCTTTTCAAAAAGCAACACAATTAAGTTAAAATTTTCAAGACCCCCCCCCCAAATTTTTAATAACAGGAACTACTACCTTGATAACCTACACAAATCATCTCATCTTACGGTCTTCCTCTACTTTCTTATTCATTTCTCAGACATTATTTTTCCTTCCCTTTTTCTCAGAGCAATTTCTGAAAATCACTGGTACCTGTCAGCTACACTCCGTTCAATTTGAATCTTCCTTGAGGTTCTATCTCACCTCAAGAGCAACTCTGAATTCAGTAAGCCATATGAAAAGCAACTGATCCCAAACACGGATTAAAAAACAAATACATTCTAGTATACACCAGTATGTTACATATCCCAACACAGGTTAACAGTAAAAACAACTAAGCATTCAATACTTATTTGAGGGGCTTAAATTAAAAAGTTTTAATATCAGAACCTGGCCCTAAGCTTTCAACTTCATTCTCATCAAAGAGTTAAAACAGGTAAAAATAAACTGAGTCACTGTATTGGACCCCATCAACCAAGGCATAAAGTCCAATTAAGTGCAAAATGGTTTCCCAAGAGTGGTTTTTAATTCTGTCTTGGTAACCAATTTTCTATCAGATGTCTACCATTACACAACTGTAACAGCTTTCATAAAGTCACCAGTAGGAAATCACATTTCTTTCAGAAATCTACCTCAAACACTCACATCCTCCCTGTCAAGAACTAAATATAACCTCTTCCTCTGTCCCTTAAGTATTCCATTTCTTTCCTGAAGTAGAGCTTCTGTAAATATTGCAACACTAAGGAATAAATTTTAATAAATACAAATCAGAGAAAATGAAGGAACATTAGCTTCCATTAAAGCTTTCCTTTAAAAAAAGTGTTTCCAAGTTATATTTTTTAATTCCCCCATGATTCTCTTTAAAAGAATGAACACAAAATTTCTCTGCTAATGACTTTATTCATGAATCTATAATGGAACTCAAAATAGCAAAGAACATGAAAAACTTCAGGTTAATATTTGTCAACCAAATACATCAAAGAATATTTATATAACTAACAAATATCTCTAAAATGCACATGTGAAAATACAAATATTCTTCACCTTGTGGAATTTCAAAGTAACAAAGATCTGCTTAACATAGATGGCCACAATAGCCCGATTATACTGACAGATATATATAATGCAAAAGAAATCAACGTACCTGAAAAATAAACATCACATGGTTAATCTTTTGGTAAAGTGCTACTTTCATATGGAAAAAAGAATTTATGAAGATTACAAAAAGTTCATGTTACACCATCATTCTCAAAGTGCCAAAATTTCTCAGTATTCACTACGTTCATCACATTTTTATGTCCCCAATGAGAGACCATAAACATTATTTTGCAATCTTTTTGTTCACACATTATTTCCTGGAAGCTAAAAATCACCACTCCATTGCTAAATAAAACTTTTCACTCATATAAGACTGTTTTAGACACAGTAATTCTTCATTGTTTTAAATATGATCTTTGGTTTAAAGCTGTCCTGATAGCCTTTCTAGGTGGACTGTAGTTAGTAAAATATTTATAAAACAGTACAGTAGCTTCATTTGAACCACAAAAGTAAATTGGATCAGTGGCCTAAACGCAAAGAATGGCACACATCAAGATGTCTAGAATGATGAGTTCCCCAAATTAGTAACTGACAAGGTCAATATCAAAGGAAATTAGTATTGCTGAGGAGTGGCTCACCTCTTTTCATCAAAGACCTCTATCAATTCATAACAGTATTAGCCATTGAGAGAAAATTAGTTGGAAAAAAAATCTAACCTGAAGGCACACAGGTGCAAATCTTAAGCAGATAAATAAAACCAACTAAACTGCATATGCACACATGGGTATGTCCAAGTATATACACACTTCTCTGTGTGAAGCTGAATACCAGCACTATGGATCTTCTACCAGATAGGAAGCTCTATGCCTGTGTGTGTATATACCCTAGAGGTCAGACTAGCTGATGGGTTTTCCAGAAAAAAGTGAGACTTTAAATGATGCAAAACTTCGCCTTTCTTCAAAACAGAAGGTTTTAAATTAATAGCAAAGGAATGCAATAACAATGGAAACTGTAAGAAGCCATCAAGTTAAATCTCAGAAAGGACAAGATCAACTTCATAACTGAAGGCTGTCGATTTCTTCTCTCTCCCCTTGAATAATCAAATGCAAATACCTTTTAGCAATGGCAGCATTCAAATCCCACAAAAAGTCAAGGAGTGCACCTTTAAGGAGCACCTCCATTGGCACAAACTGTAAAACCTGCTGGGTTGCCTCAGCGTTAACCAAATCTCTCAATAATTCATTCACATTTTGCAGATACTGAAAAACTGGGTTTGGAAGATCCTGATAACCAACACAAAGCAGGACTGCACAAGTCTTCAGGGGCTCAGAGGATATGGGACAAGAAAATGTGATGAATCTAAAACAGCTGTGGAGTACAAAGATCAAACCAGCCATAAACCTTGTAAAACAAGAAAGTATAGGCAAAATCATAACATCTCCTGTATGAAGCTGTTGCAATGAATGTAGTATGCAGTCCAAAAATAATTGCTGGTAAGTGGGGTCTCCATCATGAAGCAATGAACAGCTAAAAGTCATGAGTGCAGCTGATTCCAAGAGTCGAACTTCCAATGGTATGTGCATTTTGATATTATGGAGAGCTGGGAAACCCACTAGCAGGCACTTTATCTGGGTGCTGGGTTCTTCATCCTGATGATCCTGAAGGCACTTGGTAAGGCTAAACAATTCAGAAAATATCAGTTCTTCAGAAAAAACATGACAAGAACAACAATGCTGCTGTTTTGGCCTAAACTTAAGATCAAAATTCAAGGCTCCTCCTAATGACTTTTCAACTGCTTCATTAAGAGCCTTTAAAATCTCACCATCACAGAAAGGAGAACACTTTACCTTTGGCAATTTCTTTCCCTGTAAAACCTGCCATAAGTGACACTCAAGATTGAAAGCTGTCCCTTCCAAAACAGAACTTTGCCCAGGATGATATGTAGCATGTTCTTCAGCCCAACTGTTAAAGTACCCTTTGGCCACCTTATCTTTCCAGGAAAGGGTTTCCAGCATTTTCCTTTCATTGTAGGTTTTAAAATATTTGTTTCTCTGCCCAAACCATTTTGTATTTGTACTGCAGCCAATGTTAGATTTTTTCACTAGCCAGTTATTTCTGGAAAGAGGCTTCAATTGAAACTTTTGCATGAAATACTGAACAGCATAGTCCCTTAAACTATTCAACTTTGCTTGCTCCCCTTTTCCCATGTACTCAAACAGACGAATGTTCTCAGAAATAGTCTCTAGTTGGTATTTATGAAAGAACATGCAACATTCTTCATGTTTTCTAAGAAAAGATTCTGGAATCATGTGATGGGGAAAGAGAGCTTTCTTGGTCATTTCAGACCCAAAATTCAGCACCATCTTAGATAAAAGAGGATAGATTGTCTCTCTGCCCTTATAGTAGAGACATACCACATAGACTTCTGAGTTTCCTGCCTTGCTAGTAGCTGGTTTGAAAACATGAACTTGATCAAAAGAACAGTTTAGTAGGTACATAAGATTTATGGAACAATGTTCAAACAAAGTAAACATCTTCAGAACAAAAGAGCCACCATTTCCAAGGGTCATCAGAGCAGTGACAGCTTCACAGTAATGCAAACAAGAGACTAAAGCTTCTTGTTCACCTGGGTTTCCTTGGCAATCAAAACTTCCATCTGCAGTGATCAAGTGAATGGTACCCATACTACTTATGAAATTCTGAAGTCCAGTCAGATATTTCAAGGTCATGATATCACCAGTGTTATCTGGACCAAAGTACCAGCAACGCAAGGTATTTGCAATAAGTCGGTCATCCATAATCATCGTAAGATTGTCATTTGCCTCATGGTAAGGATTCAGAGTATTAGCTACCCAATTCCAATCACAGGGGAATCGGTGGGATTTTAAGTAGTGATTGAGACTAGCTATAAAAGCTCCAGGAGCTTCACAAAGGTGTAGAGAATTCAGTTTTCCATTCTGAAAAGCTTCCTGTGGAATAAGTGGAAAGCTGCACAAAATTTCATGAAACTTACACCATGCTTGAGTACAAAGTTCAGCATTTACAGATTTTCTCACATGAGAAATTATTTTCCCAGCTTTGTTAGTGAAAGCCGTGTGCTCATGCCACTCATCCAATTTCTTATCACTCAGTAGGTTTTTCACTTCATTTAGGGAGTTCTTCAAATCAAGGAATGCACTGAATTCCATGTGGTCACAGGTGAAAATCTCACTGGGATCTGGTAACTGCCACTCATTATTAAGTGGTTTGTCATAAGAAAAGTTCTTGGCAAAGAGTTCAAAAATGTCAGCAAGAACATCTGGGCTGAATGTCTCAGGACTTGAACCCAGTGGTTGCTTTCTGCACTTACTCATTTTCAAATCAAATCAAAATCTAGAAAAAGAAAACACACAATTAAGTGAATCAAATTTTATTAGTGAGTGAAGTCTAATCCACAGCAAACTGGATCACAATCATGACAAATCACATAAAATAGGTAGACTAATGTGAGTACAATTCATTACATATTGAGGCAATTTGGAATAAAGAAAGAATAAAAGCACTGATGTCCAATAAACCTAGGCTCAAATTCCACAGCTTAGTAAAGTGGCCACGGGCAAATAATTTTACATCAGTTTCTTCTTTAAAAACTTGAGGTATTATTTTTTAAGATGAGGATGAAACATGTTAGCATACACGAAAGAACATTCATCAGTGAATGGCAGCTCCTATTACCAAAGTAACACACCTAGTTCCTCCCCAAAGTTCTGTACCCATGGCTGAGACACCACCCACAGGGACCCAAACACATGCTTAGAGGAAGATTTATCCTTTTGCTCAAACTACTAACAAGTGACTTTTAGCCCTGTTTTTTAGCTCCCTCCAAATCTCACTTCCTTCCAGGAGAGATTCCAGCACCTGAACCCAGCATGGCTCCTGCTATGACCTCTCTGCCCCCACCCACTTAAACTCACCTATGAGGACTGCCAACTATGTCCTCTGTCCAGGTTTGACTCCTGCTAAGTCATGCACTTTGGTGGTACCAAATCACCTTTACAGGCCACCAACCGTCACCATACTACTTGTCAACTGTGGTGAACTTGACAGGTTAGCCTCTCGCTCAACGCTGAAACTGACCTATAGTTCACCCTGGCATGTCTCTAAACTTCCTGCCTCATAAGGTCGGGTCAGACAGCTCCATGTTTATTTATATTATAAAATATTATCTTTTTATTGCCACAAAAACTTAATATACTTTCATAGAATAATTTTAAACTGAAGAAATATCCTTAATGAATATATAAATTACAAACAGTCACTCTACATTCTGTGCTCTAACACTGTCTAAGAAACCAAAAACATCTGTCCACTGGAAACGAAAAGGGATGCAAGTTAAGGAAGCAAGGCTTAACGGCATAATGTTGAAAAAGTTCTGAATTCCAGCAGAGACAGCAATGAGTATTAGATGGTACTTGTTGGCACAGTCTTAATCAACAGGTGCTTCAGTTCATGACTTCTGGGTTTATTTAGTATATTCAATACGTTCTACATCAGTATGAAGATTAAAACAGGAGATAAAAGACGAGTGAGCACCACAATAAACAATAACAAAAGAAGACTGTATTCCATTAGCATTTACTTTGTACTCAAAATACTTTTTCATCCTTTTATATTTTGTTTAAATTACTTACAAGTCTGTCTGTGCCATTCTGTGCTCAGTCGCTCAGTCATGTCTGACTCTTTGCGACCCCATGGACTGTAGCCCGCCAGGCTCCTCTGTCCATGCGGATTCTCCAGGCAAGAATGCTGGAGTGGGTTGCCATGCCCTCCTCCAGGGGATCATTCAAACCCAGGGATTGAACCCAGGTCCCCAGCATTGCAAGCAGATTCTTTACCGTCTGAGCCACCAGGAAACCCCAAGAGCTTGAAAACTTCCTGAAGTAACAATTATCTTAGTCATTTCTGTTTGCCACAGTATATTTACCCCAAAATTGTGGATAACAGTCACAATAACCTATTAGTGTATTTTTCTTACCTTAGGTCTATTTTTTTTTTTACTGTTAGAATATTTAGACAAATTTCTGACAGAAAGCAAAAAGGAAGCATTTTCACATTCACTAAAATTTTAATTAAAAGTAAATGCACAAGGACTACAACAAGTTATTCTGTCCTAACTCACACTTTGCTTACTGGAAACTACAACTTTTAGATTTCAACTATATTCTATTTTGGAAAAAGTCTGACTTTAGTCATTAACTTCACATACCAATTAATGGCTATAAGTAAGCTCTGAAATCTTACCTAAGCTAATACGTAATTACTTTCACAGGAGAACAACTAAAGTGGTTCAAACACGCCACTGTTCTTCCCGCCTATACTTGTGGAACATGGACCAAAATTATATATTATATATTTATATATAAACTGTATATCATGTTGAAAAATGTTCAGGTTGATAACACACAACTTATCCAAACGTTTCCTACAAATTCCCAGAATCCAACTGCTTCGCACTCACTCCAACTACCAACCTTCTGATTAGAAACACGTATCAACTCTTTTCTGAACTACTGCCACAGCCGTCTCACTCCTCCCTTTGCTTCTTCCCTTGCCTCCGCCATTCTATTCTGAAACACACCCACCAGAGTAACTCTGAAAAACCTTAGATTGTAGGGCTGCTGTGCTGTCACGGCTCCCCGTTTCACTCAGAGTAAGTGCCAAAGTCTTTACAACAGTCTACAAGGCCCTAGAAGATGTCTGTTCTCCAGCCCCACCCCATAGCTAACCTAATTTTCTCCCACTACCCCTTTTTTTCATTGTGTTCCAGCCCCACAGGCTCTCTTGCCATTCACTTAAAAGCCCAGACACAACAGCAAGGGGAGTCTTTGGACAGTCAGTCCCTCCACCTGGAATGCTCTTCCCTTCCCTTATCTCCTTCAAGGATTTACAGAAGTGTCATTTTTTCTGTGAAGCCTTTGACAGTCTAATTTAAAATTGCATCTTCCATTAACAATGGTAAAGGTAAGAACTTTGCTGTCTTTTCCTATGACACTCTTTCCTTCTAACATGTGAAAGTGAAAAAGTGAACGTGAAGTCACTCTCAGTCGTGTCTGACTCTCTGCGACCCCCATCGACTGTGGAGCCTACCCTGGAAGTTTTCCAGGCAAGAGTACTGGAGTGGGTTGCCATTTCCTTCTCCAGCGGATCTTCCCGACCCAGGAAATGAACCCAGGTCTCCGGCATTGTAGGCAGACGCTTTACCATCTGAGCCATCAGAGAATTTATTTATTTATGTCTACTATTTTTTATGTCTTCCCAAAACTACAACCTAAGCTGCAATGGGCAGGGATCTTTGTTTTCTTTACTCACTTATTAAGAAGTTAGAACAGTACACAGAAAGCATTCACTAAGTATTCATGGAATAACTAAAGGGATTTCAGACTAGCCCAAAAGGCGTACCTCTGATCAGGTTCTGAATATAAGTCTTAGCAAAGAACTTCAACGTCACTCTAGCACCTCACACAAAACAAAAACAAAAGTGCATATGGTTTACAAGATACAAGGAAAAAGTTTTCAGTATGATCCTCTGGAAAAGGTTCCTCTGTCCCTCTTATGAAGCACTCCATAAAGCTTTGTGGCATCATCATTCAGCTACGAGGGTCAGTATTACCATTGTTGTTTTGCAGAATTGAGTAGGAAGTCATGTACCCCCTACCCAAAGCCACGAAGGGAATACCCGCAAAATTCACCGGCCTAACACAAAGTCTCATTAATAGCTGTTACTCCTCCAGTTAACACTTGCAAAGAAATTTTAGAAGAGGTGCCAACAGCTCCACCTCCTCACAGCAACCGCGAAAATAATGCCTAGTGTGTATCCAGCGCCTTACTTTGCGCCAGGGGCACCCCAAATCTCGTTTCCTCTAGGTGGAAATTAGTCTCAAGCTCCATTCGAGCGGCCCAGTCCCTGACCCTGAGGAAACTCAGCCCAAGACTCTGTCTAATCCACTGGAAAGTCGAAGGAAGACCCGGGTTCGGAAAGTGGGCCTGAATTACCTTCGCTCACGCCCACCTCAGCCCCCAGAGTCTAGCGAGGCTGCGCTTCACTCGCTCTCCTCACTCAAGGAGGGCATTCTCCACTTCCACTCCTGGGGATGATTCCCAAGAGCATCGCTACTGCAGGTCTTCTGAGCCCTGGCACAGGGACGGGAGGTGGCGCGCCGGAAGGTCGAGAAGGAGGCAGAAGCGGCCCTAGGAACACGCAGAGCGGAAGCACAACTGCAGCCCGCACCGCCCCTAGACTCCGGCGAACGGAGGCCCAAAAGCCCTAACACACGCACTGCGCGTGCGCCTCAAGGCTGAGCTGGCGTCTTACGTCAACGTTACGCACGTCGGCGATGCTCGTAAGAGACCTCTGCTCTCTCGGTTTCGTTTCTCCGCTGGGTGCTGAATCTGGGAAGCGCCGGCCTCCCGCCCAACGGTCGCTATGGTAACTGCGCGCTCAAACCGAGCGTCCTTTGGCCCCGCCCCCCGAGGGTGGAGGCGTGGAATGGGGCGAGAACAACCTGTCCCGGACACGCTGGCCCCGCCCACCTGGGCCCTGGACGCCCGAGGTTCTCTCGCTTTGGGGTAGAGTTTAGCTTTTAGCAGAAAGAAAATGAGATTAGAAGAAAATGAGGTTAAAAAGCCAAACTAGGGAAACTACAAAAATACTGTTATCATGACATACATATATTTATAAACGAGTAAAACAGCCTCCCTTCTAGATAGCATATTAAAAAGCAGAGACATTACTTTGCCGACAAAGGTCCGTCTCGTCAAGGCTACGGTTTTTCCAGTGGTCATGTATGGATGTGAGAGTTGGACTGTGAAGAAAGCTGTGCGCCAAAGAATTGATGCTTTTGAACTGTGGTGTTGGAGAAGACTCTTGAGAGTCCCTTGGACTGCAAGGAGGTCCAACCAGTCCATCCTAAAGGAGATCAGTCCTGGGTGTTCATTGGAAGGACTGATGCTGAAGCTGAAACTCCAATACTTTGGCCACCTCATGCGAAGAGTTGACTTATTGGAAAAGACCCTGATGCTGGGAGGGATTGGGGGCAGGAGGAGAAGGGGGCAACAGAGGATGAGATGGCTGGATGGCATCACCGACTCGATGGACATGAGTTTGAGTAAACTCCGGGAGTTGGTGATGGACAGGGAGGCCTGGTGTGCTGTGATTCATGGGGTCACAAAGAGTCGGACACGACTGAGCGACTGAACTGAACTGAAGACAAGCTTCCCGGAGAAAGAAATGGCAACCCATTCCAGTACCCTTGCCTAGAAAAATCCCATGGACAGAGGAGCCTGGTAGGCTACAGTCCATGGGGTCGCAAAGAGT